TATCTAATAACAATTAACAACTATCCTTCTATGGTATGAGTTTAATGAAGCACTAATATTAATTATTTAAATTGATTTTTTTTTTTACAGAAAACAACAATTTTGTTTTATCAACATATTATATTAATAATGTTATTCTTTTTAAAACAAAATATTTTTGGTTAAGTATTTGATGTTGTTTGATCTATCGGATTCAACAAGTATTATAATATTTGCTTCTTCTCTTTAGCTGTCATATATCAAAATTTTAACAATAATTGCTTAATAATATTTCAAACACTAAAGATTACCGTACATTTAATTTCTGTTATCATGGTAAATGGGCTGTAAATATTTATTCCTATCGCCACAATAACTTATCCAACATTTTTTAACTGATAAATAATATCTAAAGTTAAACATTTGGCAACAAATTATGAGCGGTGAATTTATTGTTTACTTTCAATGCTCATAAATACGAAATCTGGCATTTAATAATTTTGTGGAACCTATTCACTAGTTTATTCCTCATATCGTATCAAGTACATTAATTGTATTGATACATTTTTTTTTATTATTAGCATTTAAGTTTTAACACATATTTTACTGTTACAACATAAGACTGTGATAAAATAATCCAAACTCAGTTTTTAAATTTGGTTAATTGCTTTATTTTTATGTTTATATAAGTTTTCCGATATGAAGACATTTTTTTTTGTTTTTTTGATACAGGGTAAGAATTATCAATGTATACGTTGTGTGTTTTATGGTAGCATAACCATTTATGCTTTTAATATTTTATTATTTTTATTTAATGTGTTTATAATTGAAAATATTAAATAAGTAATAACTGTTGCATGCCAAATTATTATTTATATTGAGTGAATTTTTTGTAACAATTATTGTAATGTACCTAATAAATCTTCTTTCTGTAGCCAAACCAAGACTTATTGAATAAAAGTAGAATAGACCAATAAAATATAAAGTTTCGTTTTTTAAAAATCCATTTTATAAATAAGACAAATTCATTTTGTAAGAAATATATAATATACATTTAATTTTGTGTTTTTTTCAAGTTATATAAAGTTATAATAGTTATTAACCTTTGATTTTTTAAATATAATCCGTTTATTTTTTATTAACATAGTGTATGAAAGCATCATTAACATTATAGTTTTAATAAGTTATTTGCAGATTTCTTTATTTAATTTTAAATTTCAGAAGGATAGATGTAGCAAAAATAAATATAATTTATTAATATTTTCATGATTAATTTGTTGTATTTATCATTGACTTAAGTATTGCTTATTTTTATGACAGTAATATGAAATTCCTTGTAAAAAAAATTTAATCTTAATGATATTAAATATTATTTTATGATTGAATTTTAAGTATTTATTATTTGTTATCCAAATGACATATATATAATATATATATTTGATTCACATAAAGATACAAAACTTATTCATTAAAATGTAAAGTAATATAGAAACACATATAAAATATTAATTGAGTATACAGTTAAAAATGTGGTATTCAGAAGTATTTACCTGTAATACTAGGTATTTCTTATAAATTGTAAATCAGTTCTTTTCCTCTCATTTGTTTTCCACTAATTACCATTAATATTATTGCCTATAATTTATAATCTCATTACTATAATATGTTGTATAATGTTTATCTAATGTTTTACAATAAACATATACACACATGGCTACTGTAATGACTTATGATGTCATTACCTACATAACAAATATAGTTAATTATGGAATTAGGTTGCTACTGTCCTTTTAAATTTGTAATGATATTAAACCAGTCCTTCAAGGACCAAGGTAGATTATGATAAAAATAATTAAATTAGTTCATAGCTATGACTATATTTTATAACTTACCTATAAGCTATTAGAATGAACTTGGTTTTGATATACATATACCTAAGATGTATTTACGAATATTAGTAAAGTTATTACTTGTTATATTATATTTGATATATTTTTTAAAATTTAAATGTCTTTAAAGTTAAATATTTTATCTTGCGAAGAATAATTTGGGGAATTCATTGGCGTATGGTGATCAATTAATACATCAAAACCGTGATAAAATTATAAAACTACACAATTTAAATTGGTATCTTTTTAAGTTTAACAGAATTATTTTAAAAATTAAAATCAGCCAGATTTAGGTGATTAGTACAATCTTTTCATTTACAAAAAAAACTGTACATTTTGTAAAGACATTACAATATTTAATATTATTAGTAAGTCTCATATGGACCACAAGTTACCACAACCAAAATATCTACAACATTTTTGAGTTGTCAAGTTAGACCAGAATAATGTCAGTATTTCTATTTTTCTAATGCTCAAATCCATGGTTGTACTTGAGCAGAAATGCAGAATATATGTGCATTCTGCAGATCATATGGAATTGTTGCCGTTTGAAGCATGTTACTCTTCTCCAGAGTCTAGATTGTCCTCTTCAAGATGTTTAGATGTCATACAAAGGATAAAAGGAAATTACATTTTCAATTTCATATATCTAAGCAGAATATTTTGGAGTATTTTGATTCATAAAAATCGAATTTATAACGAGTAATTGATTAATCATAAGTAGATATTTAAAGTTTAAAATAGCGAAGTAGAGAGGCACAGAGGTACCTACCATGCAATATTTTGGGATACTACCTAATTTCGTTCATCCAAATTTCAAACCCTAAATATTAAATACTTAGTTATAACTAATTAACTAGGTGCCCATAGGTGGACAATTATCAAAATTTTAATCGGCTCTAAGATTTAAAAAAAACTATATGGCATACCAAAGTCGTTCCATGTGCTTGCTAAACTTATCTTACCTTGAACAGCTTAAACATGTAATTAAATACCTTCAACTATCTTTTAAGATGTCAGTTTCTCAAATTTTCCGAAATTCAATAAAATTTTATATTTTAGTTGCCACCTCAATTATAATAATTTTCCACTAATCTACTACCCGATTACTATTTAGGGGGTGTTGATAGGGTGTATTATATCGAAAAAAATGACGTCAAGGGAATAACTCTTAGGCTTTGTAGAATTGTCGGATTTTGATGACTATTTTTTTATCTGAAATAAGATTTCCTACAGCCCGCGTCGATCTCTGATTTTGTATTTTATTTAAGGTTTCAAGGTTTCAAATAAAGTCGGAAAATCCATATAAGGGGCCTCGTAAAAAGTGTAAGTAACATACTTACCCCTATTTTACAAAACCCCTCCCTTCGCTCGCAAAAAGTAATAAAAGTAATGGAAAATGTTTTTTATTTATTTTTTATAAATAAAACAAAATTTATAATAGATATATAAAATTAAATTTAAAAAAATTATAACTGAGAACCTCTGTGAACTTTGGCCTTGGAAAACTTGTCGATAATTTCAGTCAATCGAGCTCTTGTGCTGCTTCATACTCCATCGAAAGTAAGGCTAAATTGCTAAATCCACCACTGGCCGCACTGGGGGAGGATAATTTCTCTGTTTGTACATTTTGAGAGGGCTTAGCCCCCACAATCTCCCCACCACCAATTTTCGCCTATGTTTTATTTAAGCCCCCCAAGTTTTTAAATATATTCATTCTTAAACCAACCTAATAAAAAAATTATGTGGGTCTGTATTGATTTTATAAATTTAGCCCCCCCAAATCAGTTGTCCAAATTACGCCTATGACTTATGTATAATAATAATTTAATAAGGTACCTATTAAATTGACAGTTTTGACTGTTTTGTGCTCCTATTAGATGGGCAGATGGCTATTAATGATGAAATACTTACCTTGAGTTCTTTAAGAAGCTTAACATCTTCATCAACTTTATAATAACTATTACAAGCAATATCTCCAGTAATAGGGGCAGCACGGCGTTGTTTATATTTTACTCTGTACATAGTCATAGGCCTTCCTTTCGATACACACGAGAATTTATTTTCTGATATCACATTTACATTTGGAAAGTTTGTATCGTCTGATTCTAAATCATCCTCAAATTATAATTCTTGTTTAGTGTGAGTGACGCGATCCCATATGCTCTCGGTTTTTCCTTACAAAAAGTATATTACAAAATGAGTTTTAATTATCTTAGTTAACGTTTTACCTAGATACAAAGATAAAATTTACTTAAAATCTATTTTGATTTATTTTTGATGGTAATATAAAAAAAATCAACATACCATCATCGTTCCATATGTACCTTCGATTTGATATATGCCGAAGAAGCAGTACCGAGCATAAATTCTTCAGGAAATTGTTAGTATTTACATTTTAAATGTTCTTATGAGGATCCTAATAAAATAAGTAGGTAAATAAATAGTTTAGTTAACATAAAAAAAAATCACTGTAGGTATACGAAAAACGATTCTGGCGAAAAAGGTCGTCATAAATAGGCTATATGTAGGTACCTACTAATTCGAAATTAGATTTGTATGTACTAAATCTATAAGTAGGTAGATACTCCAAAAGATATTCTGCTCTTAAATATGAAATAGATAATTAATGTTGTTATCCATAAAAGTAAATAAAAACTAAAAAATGATTAGGTACCTAGGTACGATAAAAATGTAAATAACATTATTTAAACAGTTAAAACTTTCCGAAATAATTAGTCTCTTAAATGGATTTCCTTGTATAATGTTTATTGTATACATATAAATCAATGGAAATAATAAGAAATTAGATGCAGGTATGAGCCAGAGGTAGATATTTGCCAACGTAAACATTAAATAATTAAATAACTTAACTAGGGTAATAATTTAAGTCCACGTATATTTTCTACTTATGTTGATCATTTGATCATGTATTTCCTACCTAAGCGTTTGTCTATGTGACCATAACTGTGACTTGTGAGGACGGGGTTATCAAGGATAGTTTAGAGTAAAAGTTATAAATAATACAAATCAGTTGCTATTAGTTGATTTAATTGTTGCCTACTTTCCTGACAGGTATCGTCCTATCGTGTGACTTCATTTACCTACTCAGCTACTCGTTAGAAGTGAAAAATGACCGTTCAACTGGATGGTAAGTACCTACACATCATCATTGGTTATAAAATAAAAGTAATATGTATATTTTGAGATTTATTTTATATTGTTTGCTGTTATGCGTTTAGCGTTTGTAAGACGGAGTTACCATTTTGTTTACATATTTTATTAATAAAAAATAAAAAAAAATAGTTAGGTACCGCTCTGTAGTAGGAACATTAGTTAACCGCGTGTATCAGAGGCGGCACCAGGATTTTCTACCTGGACACCTGGTAGGACCAACTTGAGGCACTTAATTTTAACTTAATTACTATTAATATTACTTAAAATATAATACATTAATACCAAAAAAATTTAATCAAATTTAACAAATAAAATCTAAAAAATTAAAAATTGAAAATGTCTATATAGGTATATCCCAAATCGAGTCCAAATATTTTTATAACTGTATCATACATTCATACTATCATGTTTGGAAAATTATAACATAAAGATTTGGTGAAAATGTCTAGTATCTACGGTTACCTATTTGTTTTTGAATTTTAACAAAATAAGAAAATCGTCAAAAAGTCGAAAAAAAATTGAACTTTAAAAGTTCATAAATAATTAATTTGATTTTCCGGTAGATTTTAGATTCTAATCAGTGAATGTATTGATTTTATAATAATGTGTGTTTTTTTAACAAACCGTTTCAGCTCAGAATCGTTTTTTATATAGAATGATATATTGATATTATATCATTGAATTTAAATTTAATACAATCCATTAAACAGTGACCCACGTCATCAGCTTTTGGGACAGTAAACATTTTCTTCAACAGCGTCTTTTCTTTTAGGAAAGTGAATCAAGTTGGTACTTTTGGGGAAGGGGACGAAGGGGTCAAAGTAAAAATTTGCCAAAAGTTTTCAAAAGCGCCATGAAAAACAAACAATAATTATGGAAACCTTGAGAATTTTACGCAAAACCAGTTTTGAAAAAAAATTGATTTTGTTTTTTAGCGGAACTCTAAAAATATAACAGAATACAGATAAAATTTTTATTGAACGTTTGTGTAAGCAATTTCTATGCATCATAACATTTTCAAAATTTTAATAAAAAGCTCTTTTTGAGCTATTTATACTGATAAGAAAATTTCGTGTTTTATTAGGTTTTTTTTAACTATTGTCGATACAACATTTTTCTGTCTGGCAAAAACCTTGAAAATGTAATACATCGGAAGCGTTCCTCATCAATTGATGTTAGTGGAAATCAAAAAAAATGAAGTCTGAAGTTACAATTTTGACAGAATTGATCAAAAACACGAAAATTGGCAAATTCTTTCAAGTTAGAAATTCATAAATATTTTTCAATTTATATTTAAGCTTTAAAAAGTTAATATAAGCTTCCCCTTAAGTTGCGTAATACTTAATTTATTACTCTTTGTATATTAACAAAATCTCATATACAACTATTTTCTTATTTTGTTGTTATTTAATACCAATAGCCGTAGATACCTGACATTTTTATCAAATGCATTTTATCGTTTCTATACATGATACAATTTTCTAAATATTTACACTTGTTTTGAGTTATTTATAGATATTATCAATTTTTAATTTTTTTATTCCATAAATGTCAATTAAATTGTATTTGTTGGGTAAAAAAGCTTAAAAAATTAATACAAGGTTCCTTATAAGTTGTTATAATAGCAGTTCCCAAATATTAAAAATCCATATGTAAGATTTTTTTTTATAAATATTTAAATTTCAAATGTTCACAAAATTTATCAAATAATGGAACTTTTTCAAATTTATTGTTGTTAAAAAATTGTATAATGTTCAATTTTTATAGGTAAGGATAAAACGAGGACTCGCATAAATAATTTATACCGTAACCAAAAAAGTTAAAAAAAAATAAACAATTATTTATTACAGACATTTTTAGTTTGGACGAAATCGAGAATTACGATTTTAGTTATTTTGTTGTAATTTAAAAATATTATTCGTGGGTATATGAAACTTTTAGTATATTATTATATTTTATCGACACAATGAAATTTTCAAATGTCATTTTTTCAACAAAAATGAATTTAACCTAAGCTGTTCTAGCTCTAGGTATTATAACGCCTAATAGTAAAATAAATTACTTTAATCACAATATAATATCATGAAATATAGATACTTAGTAATATTATAGGCTGAAGACCGTCTTCGCTCAGAATCGTTTTTCGTATACCTACAATGATTTTTTTATGTTAACTAAACTATTTATTTACTAATTTTGTTAGGATCCTCATTAGAACATTTAAAATGTAAATACAAACAATTTCCTGAAGAATTTATGCTCGGTACTGCTTCTTCAGCATATCAAATCGAAGGTGCATGGAATGATGATGGTATGTTGATTTTTTTTATATTATCAAAAATAAATCAAAATAGATCTTAAGTAAATTTTATCCTTGTATCTAGGTAAAACGTTAACTAAGATAATTAAAACTCATTTTGTAATATACTTTTTGTAAGGAAAAACCGAGAGCATATGGGATCGAGTCGCTCACACTAAACAAGAATTATTTGCGGATGATTTAGAATCAGACGATACAAACTTCCCAAATGTAAATGTGATATCAGAAAATAAATTCTCGTGTGTATCGAAAGGAAGGCCTATGTACAGAGTAAAATATAAACAACGCCGTGCTGCCCCTATTACTGGAGATATTGCTTGTAATAGTTATTATAAAGTTGATGAAGATGTTAAGCTTCTAAAAGAACTCAAGGTAAGTATTTCATCAATAATAGCCATCTAATAGGAGCACAAAACAGTCCAAACTGTCAATTTAATAGGTACCTTATTAAATTATTATTATATAAGTACCTATTCTTACCTACATAATATCTAAATAATCACCATATTATTATTTTATTTTATTTAACACGGACTTAGCCCAAAGTACAGTAATAGTTAAGTAAATTATAAAAGTTGAATTACTGTTGGATTACTATTATATTTTAATTACAGGTACTGTAACGGAGGTTATGTTAGGACCATATAATAGTGTTATTTTTTTTAACTCTTACCATATTTTTATTATTGTAATTATTTAAATCGATATAATTTTTTGTATAATTATGTAATTCAAAATTGTGGCAAATTGCACCATCGCGTAATTTTTTATGCTCAAATTTAATTCTCCGAACAAAAAGTTTTTAAGGCTTCATAAAAATGTGTTTAATACTCAATCGCGTGATATATGTAATAATATATAAAACGTATATTATATAAAATTAAAAATCTGTCTTTTAATTACTAACCATATTTACCTACCATCTAAATCCATATTTTACCTTAAATAGAATTAGATAACTTTATTGATGCATGTAGATATATAGTTATTGAATATGTTATTTATTTAAAAAAAAATATTCATTTATTGGCCATTTGAAGATACATAAGTAAAATTTACATTAAAAATAATATATAATAGCCCAACTCACCACTGAGGATAACCTCTTATTGGTGAAACTGGATTACTTATATAATAATCCGCGGAGAAAGCTTTTCATAATTTTATTATTTGATAAAACATCTGTAAATTGTACAAACATACAAAATTGTATTTAATTTGAATTTCTGAAAAGATTGTCTTTTTTTCGATGGTGAGTTAATTATCGATATAATCAATCGTGGTTTACCCGATAAATCGGTACCATTGAATATGATAGTCGTTGACCGCTAACACGTCTTGAACACACTAGGTCGTACTTCAATGAAACGGTCATAGTTTCCGCACCAGTGGCGTCATTTGGGGGGGGGCAAGGTGGGCATTTGCCCCTGTCTGATTTTAAAAGCGGCCCAAAGGGTCGGTGCCCAGTTTTTGCTGTTTTACCATTATTATTTTTTATCAGCGCAAAAACATGTCTATTTTATAATATTTTCAGAAAATATTATACTACCTATGTACTCAGAAATTATTGTCACAATGATACATTTTTTCTAATAATTGATAGGTAGTTGGAATATATTTATATTTAGACGTATGCGGGGACGTACACATTGTATGTAGGTATGTTTGTTTGTGTGAGTGTATAACAATAATAATAATGAGTATCGTAATCCCATATAGTTTTATTTCTAAAATCTAAAATTAATACAAATTCTAAAAACAACAACCGATTGGCACTCTTATTAATTATCATTGTCCATTGATACCAGACTTCATACGCAGTTAACTTACGAGTTGCAACAGTCGTGTATGGTAAACTATTCAACTATTCTGCGTATTGTGTTGTGTACCCAGGGCCGGGTTGGACAAATTCGGCCCACCGAGTTTTCCGTACTTTACCAACCCACTTAAAAACTGGCGGCCCTTGGGTACGCAGGTACGCTCTTATTCCGTGCATAGTTATTTTATTTTATAGTCTCCATTTCTTCAACTTTTAACTCTTAACATATTTTTAGTCAATGCGGCCCCTCATGAGTCATGACTTGAACAGCCAAAAATTGTCGCGGCCCGCTGAGTTTTACATCGGTAACTCGGCCTCGCCGGGTCAATCTGGCACTATGTATTGTACCTTATCCTACCTAAATTAAAATTTATTTTTTCGTGACGCGTGTTTACATTAATCTTTCAATTTGAGCAAAATATGACTTAAAAAAGAGTAAATGGGTTGTGCGGTTAAAAATATAAAATTACCGCAAACCGCTCAAGAATCGAAAACAATTTCTGGTATGTTTAATAAAAATACGAAACTTAAACCAGTAAGCACTAAGCAAGCAATAAAAATAAATAAATATTATAATTTAAAATAATATTAATTTGAAAATATATCGTATACATATAGAGTATAGGTGATAAGTGATGAATCAGGTAAAATTGATTTATAGATGATGCAGTTGATATATTTTCATAAAATAATAAAAAAAGAAGATATCCTTTAATAAGCTACTAATATTTTTGTTTATCAATAAATATTGCTATATTATGTTTGTAGACTTTTAAGTTTTAATTGATGTAGGTGTACAATTGTTTTTTTTATAAAATATCTGCCACCTTCTATTTAAAAATGATATTACCTAGTTAATAAAACGGGTTGCATAAAAAAATGTAGATAATATAACGAGCGAAGCGAGCGGTTTTTTTTTTACCTATTCGGGCCGGTCAAAACCTTTGCCCCCCTCTATTGAAAACTGAAATGACGCCACTGTTCCGCACCCCGATGCCGGATAAATTACCTACCTTATGGTTATATTGTACTGGAGGAGCACAAATGTATTATTTGTAAAAGGCTGGTCAAAATGTTAAATTTTGCCTCTGTCTACTGTCTAGTAAAATCTAAAATGACATCTACGCACCACCTTATATATTATGTTTTTCTCAAAATAAATTATAAATATTTTTAAATGAAATTTATAATTTGTACCACTAGGCAGTAGGCACAATAAGTAAATGTGCTACTGGAAAAAAATATTTACAAATTATTAAAACGTATTAAAATAGTTTACAATAAATTAAATTATATAATATTGATTATAGGTCCAATCATATAGATTTTCATTAAGTTGGCCACGTATATTACCCAGAGGCGAAGATAGTTACATTAATCCTGCCGGTGTTCAATACTATAATCGACTTATTGATAAATTAATAGAGAATAATATAACACCTATAGTAAGTATTACATTCTTCACTTATAGCTAATGTTGCTTAAAAAGTAAGACTATACAAGAAAAAAACATTGCTTACTAAATATTATTGTTTACTTTTTTTTTTATTGTAGAATTATTTATTAGATATTAAGGTATATTGGATAAAGAAAAATTATTTTTTCTATAATATTCTTACCTTAAGTCAGTAGGTATGTATGCACCACTTAATTTATTGCTAAACAACTTGAATTTCTAAATTTATTGATAAAATTCAAATATCTTAATTTAACACATTAATAATTAGTAAATCATAACAAACAAAACTATTTAAAGACAAAATTCAAGATGGCCAGTTTAGAAAATATTTTAATTAAGTAGACTTTAAATAGATAACATGGCAACATGCATCGAGTATCAATACTCCCAGAAAAAAAAAGCTAGTAGATAAGTCGATTCCCAGCTAATTTCGATTATTATACATACCAATATACTATACCCACAGAATAGATTTAATCTATTCTGTGCTATACCACCTACCTATACCATTCTAATTATATTTTTATATATATCAGATTATTAAGTATTAACTGGAAAGTACAAAATAGCAGTCTGAGTTTGGAGCTACCACCTAATACCGTGCGTCTAAAAATGGTTTTGAATCATATTTTCAATAATTAATTCGATTAAATAACTAATTGAACAAAGTTTGAGTCATATAGAGTTGGTACATTAAACGGGAAACGAAGTGCAGCACCGCAGGATCAGCTATAGTATTTTATAAAACGTTATTTGTTTTTGAAATAGGTAATGAGTTATTCGTCATTCATGATAAAAATATTACCCTATATATATTAATTTTTAATATTAGTTGGCTAGTTTTCATTTATTTTGTATAGGTATATTTAAAATAATTTAAGACTTGAATCAATTGGTACTTAATATGAAAAGTATCCGACAGAATGAATAGCTAGTGGAATCAATATGTAGGGATTATTTACAATAGCTGGCTGAATCATTATAAACTTTTTTCCAGTGCATGTAGGGAGTTAGAATCAATCAATCCTTACTAACTATACTATCCCTACTTGTACCTAGAACCTTTGTTCGAGTATATGGTATATTGGTATTCGTTAATTAATATTAAATACGCAGATTGGTACCTATGTTATATTTTTATTAACATTTTACATTTGCTTTCCCATTAAAGTCTAGCAATAGTCCTAAGTCAGTCCTGTCTCAAGTTAGGTAAATGTGTATGACTTCGTTTACATTTAAATATAATATCTTTAGAATTAATCATTGCAACCAGAGTATCTTCAAACAATATCAATAATCAATAACATTTTACTAATTTTAGGTGACAATTTATCATTGGGACTTGCCTCAGTGTATACAAGATTTGGGAGGGTGGTGTAACAAACAAATAATAGAGTTCTTCACTCTCTATGTTCGAGTAGTTTTCAGAACGTTTGGCGATCGAGTGTGTAAAAAAAATGTTTAATTTATGGTACAAATAATAACAATTATTTTTCTAATAATTAAACATGTTTTATTTTAGGTGAAATATTGGATAACTATCAATGAACCATACTTGGTATCAGAAAGCTACGGAAATGAAACCGGTGCACCTGCATTAAACAAAAGTGGTTATGGGGATTATATGGCCATTCATCATACAATATTAGCACACGGAACTGCTTACCATTTATACAACCGAGAATTCAGACCATTTCAAAATGGTTAGTATCCCAATTCCCAACAAACACATTACACACACATTTTATGTCTCAGTCTTAAAAGTGCGTATAACATAGCAAATTTTACGCTCATTAGAGCACGTTTCGCTTATGTTTACAAATTAGAGTGAATTGACCTCTTATGAAATTTAAAGGTAAGATTATTGTACAACTAATAGAATTTTTATTATTATTTTAATTTTAAAGCGAATTATGAGTATTTTAAAATTGTTAATTGTTTGTACATTTTAACATACTCATAACTTTCTTTAATATTAAAATATAATGAGAAGCCTATATGAGATGCCCTTTAAATTTAATAAGAGGTCAATTTGCTCTAATTTTAAAACTAACGAAGCTAAACGTGATCTGTTGAAAATTTGCAATAATATATTACGCACTCTTAAGACGGAGACAATAAATATCTTTTTAAGGAAACAAATAGAGGCAAATTTATATGCCAGTATTCTGGGACTTGTCATATTATGTCGGCATGCCCGTGTGTAACAATAATTGACGCAAGTAAATTAACATTAATCAATAATCATTAAAACGTGTTTGTCGTGTGACAGTGGAGTGAGTGTAATCTAGAAATTGTATCTCCCCGAATTCCATTGGAAAAAATGGTTTATTTTTAATCAAGTCAATTGATATTATGTTCAGTGGTCACTACTCCGCACTATTTTCAATTTTCAAGCCAATTGAAACTGTATAAAAGAGGAAAACTGTAAAAGATAATACCGCCGGAAAATTAGATAAAACTGTAGGACTTGATAGACGGATTTTGATTCATTAAAAAGTTCACCATATGTTAACAAATTAATTTTAAATATTCCAAGTACTGTTATTATAAAAATGAATGAATAAAAATCCGTTTTAAAATTTAATATTCATACATTTTTGACGTTTTATCAGGCAATTTGATCATTTTGATCTAATTAACTCCTTTCCTTAAAATTACTACATTCCCCTTAAGGCTTAAATATGAATATGCACAATTATAATAAAGCCGTATTTAGAACATTTCCGTCCCGGGAAGAGATGTCTACATTAATATTGGCTAAAGAATTAATTTGTGCTAATAATTATATGATATAATATTATAAATATGATATGCAAAATTACAAAATATAATAATATAATATTAACTGTAAGAAAAAAGTTTATGGATGTATAAAAAAATTCAAACAATGAAAATTTAAAAAAAATAAAAATAACCTACCTCTTAAAATCAGCCACCCTGGGAAACAGCCCTCTAATTTACATCCCCCGCCTAAATACGGCCTATTTATAATATATTGTTTTATTATTATTTTATTTTATTTTATTATAGCTTAAAATGTATGTAAATTCAAAATTATTAACTAAAATGGTATTGTAGGTCAAATTGGTATAAGCTTAAACATGGAATGGTATTATCCAAAAAATGTAAATTCCTTAGAAGATCATTACGCTGCCCACCGTGCTCGTATGTGGCAGTTTGGAGTTTTTGCCCATCCGTTATTTTTCGGAGACTATCCTGAAGATGTAAAACAAGGAGTTATGGAAACTAATCAGTTTAGTGGAATATCATTTAAAAGGCTGCTTGATTTTAGTGAAAATGAAAAGTATTTAATCAAAGGTACCTATTATAAATATAACGATATGTAATCGAATTATTTCTCTTAAAAAAATGTAAATATTAATCGCATGAAACACAATAATCTTTCCGACAGCAAAAAAGATATTCGTCAAACCAGATTTGAAATTGTTTATATGAATAACTAATAAGATATTAGATAGTATAACTAAATACCTACAATATGTTTATATTATTATTATTATATAACTATAGAAGTGTATAATATTATAAATTATAATGGACAAATAATTTATTGTCAAATTGATGATTGAAGTCATCAATTAAATATATTTTTTAGCGCAAAATTGCATGACTATAACCATTATCTTATCAGTTATCGTCGTATACTCGTATAATAATAATTAACTAAATCTAATTTATTAATTTTCCATTGTTAAAATTAATATTCAGATTGGTAGATTTATAGTGAAAACCATTTTGAATTAAGAAGTTAGTTGTCTATAAAACCACAAATTGTCAGTTTATGAAAAGCATTTTGTAAAAATAAAAATAGTTTTATCATTTTGGTATTGGGTAAACACAGAGGCGGAACTAAGAATTTTTACGCCCGGGGAAAATATTAAAATTAAGCCCAATCATAGACCAAGATTGAAAATACAATATCATTCCCTACAATTGTTTTATCATAACTGGAACTAAAATTACAAACATACTTATTAACTTTTAAACACATAATAATATATAATAATTAATATATTCTGTGGACTGTGGTGTAACCAAGTTTATACTAATAAACTATCACACCAAAAACACTTTAAATTTAAAAACTTAGTCAACATATTGTTGATACCTTTTTAATTACTGGAAATACTGTAGTGGTTACTTAATTGTATTTATTATTAGAAATAATAATAATATTAGTTATATAATATAAATGTTGAAAAATAATCAAAACTTTAATTACCTACTATTATCCTGCACATGTATAAAAATTATAAACACTTTTGCTGTTTTGGTTCTATGCGCCTCAGCCTTCAATTATAATAGATTTTTATGGTAAAATATAAAATCTTTTATTCTGATTAGGGTACACAATTTATGCCAGTAAAAAATTGTATTTAATTAAACAATTTATAATAGAAAAAATGAAAAAGTAAATATTTAAAATCAAATCTTTTTTTTTACACATAAACAAATGTATAACTATCTTAGTAAATATTATAATATATAATATTATAAGCTATATATTAACATAATTTTTAATATACAGATATAATATACGTATCGTACGTTGATTGATAATCTTATAACAGTTATTGTGTAGGTATCAGAAATTTTAACGAAAACACAGCATCAATAAATGCCTAGGTATAGTTACTAGTTACATTTTCACTCAGAATCTTAATAATTATAGTATATTCAGTGGTGTATTGGTAAATAAATTTATGGGTATACGCACCTAAAAGTAGTTGAATATAGTATATACCTATATATACGATATACCTACCTTAAAAATTTTCTCGCTCCACTCAAAAAATCATTGGGTACACTCATAAGCGTGCGCAGAATTTCTGGCAGGGTAGTCATATACAATAAGTACATAAAACATTAACACACACACATATTACGTACCTATATATTATAATATTCATATTCACACCTAAGTTATAATAACTAATTTGGACAGTGGCGTCCGCAGGATTTTTCAATGGGGGAGGCTTGAAAATTAGTTACAATTTTATTTTTATTTTGTCCAGTCTAATAATTTCAGACGTTTATTTGAGGTATTTTAAAATGTTTGTAACTTTTCAACTTTTCTGGTAGAAAAAATGCTCTGATCATAAGCTTCGATGATGCCCGGTGTATGTTTTTGGAAGCAAATTGGATCTAGTTGGTACTATTAGGAGGTTGAAATTAAAAATGCTCAGTGCTTTTAAAAATAATTTGAGAAAAAAAAATGAAAATTTATTTAAATGTTTGGTTATACCGTCTTCACTTGGATTGTTTTAGAATAATTAAATTTTTTTTTTTCTATAAATGTCAATAAAAAATTATTTATTCGGTCAAAAAGCTTAAAAATGTAATACGTATGTTTTTTTATTATAGCTAAAATATTAACGATACATAGGCATCATGCTTATTTTTTATAAGCATTTAAAGTTCAAATTGTCAAAACCACAGTTAATTTGTAGTTCAAAACTTATTAAATATTAAATGTGTATAGCTAAGGCTAGACAATTTAATACAAGGTCTTTCATACAAATAGTTCATACTTTTACCGAAAAATTACAGATAATTTATGAAAATTGGTATGTTACAAATACAATGTTTTTTCAAAAATGAATTCATTCTGGTAAGACATATTTGAAATTTACGTCTTGCTTACTATAGTTGACAGTTTAACTAAATTAATATTTTTTTGAAAAAGTAATAATAATACGGGTAATGGGGGGGGCTTTAGCCCTTAAGCCCCCCCCCCCTGCGGACGCCACTGAATTTGGATGGGGTAACCTCATTTAACTACATTTACCATGGTAAAAAAGTATTTTATGATTGACTATCAATTATCATAATAATAATAATATTGATTATTGAGGGGGCCGAGGGGAGTTCGCAGAGTAGTCAAGTGCCTACCATGACTACCCCGTGCGCACGCTTATGGGTACACTTTGTATTTAATAATCTTTTATTACTTTATTACAAACACTTACTCTTCATGTGTATATGTATATGCGGTGGCGTATATACCCCCCTATATACGCCCCCCAGTTCACCCTATATTCACCCCCAACCATAAAATTAATTCATATATACTCCACTGTGTGTAATATGTACCAAGTATCAATGTATTATTTTTTTTAATTAATTCAATTTCATGGTATAAGTCTAGTTTACCGGGCACATTTTTTTTTTGAAATTTTTTTTTTAAAAGGGTTGCCAAACGGTCGCCAAACTCGAGGTCCTCTGCGCGGCATTATAGTAGTGTTGCGCCTGCGCGCACGCGTATAAACGTAAAATCGTTAACTTTGGGAAGCTATAACTTCCAAAATAATCATTTCCGAAATTTTATTTTTGCACCATCGTTCTTAACTCGTCAAAACAACCCTTTTCAAAAAAAAAAAAATTTAAAAAAAAAATGTGCCCGGTAAACTAGACTTGTTCCCAATTCATATATGATATATATCATAAATAATACAACTTTTTATTATCAAATTTTAAAAAAAATTGTACAGTTAAATACTTATATAGTAGAAGTAGCGGTACGTTTATTATCTATTATCGATCATATAATATTATAATATATTTATATATAAAATATTTTATAAAATTAATAGAATTAATATAATGAGAAACTAATAGTTCGATTTTATAATTTGGTTATTGGATGACAAGTAATAACACAATACATCAACAATAATTATTTTATTATTATTCTAATTTGTCATTATCATTTAGTTTGAAATTACGTATGTTTATTGTTTTATATTATCAATAATCATACGCGATTTTTTGACTACGGATCTATTTTTAACTCTTAGAATAACCATACTAGGGCTTTATAGATACAGGTATGATACGCCGCCATTTTGCGACTAATAATTTTATGTGAATATGAATTTCTCCATAGATAATATAAGATAATATTCTTATATTATCTATGAATTTCTCCCCCTTTATTTTATCATTTGATCATTGATAAAAGAGTCGCAAAATGGTGGCATAGCATACCCATGGTATGTAGAGCCTTAACCATACACGGCATACCGCAACCGATTCAGTGTACTGTGTATATGTATATACGATAAAGCAGTGGTTTATAATATATTTTTGAAACTTTAGTAGGTATATAAATTAGAAGCGTGCGTATACCCATAAAAGACTAATTTTCTTAAGGCGGCTCTTAGTGGCTATTATTTAAGGGGAACAATTTAGGCAATTTCTAATCTTGTCGTCGCCGCCCGTAATCTATGTGTTAGTCGTAAATGATTATTAGTGTGAAATTCGAAGAAATTTGAACTCGATAACAATAGATTTTATATCGCCCGGCTGCGGGCACACGGTTCAATAGCACACGTACGCGCATGCACAAGTCAACGAAATCACTCTCGAAAAATATTTTTGTACACTCACAACAGTGAAAAATGCTAATAAGCTGGCGAAAAATACACATACTTCTAGTAGTCCAATTTCAATTTTGAAAAATTATTTGAATTCGTCAGCCTCTTTTCTATGATTTGTAGGAAACCGATTTTGGATATTTTAGATAATTTACGTATATTACGGTTCCAAATGACTGCTTGATTTCTCAAATTTAACTTGCACTTTTAAGTGCTAACTAGACAAAAAGATGAAAAAGTTTTTCCTACAGATCATAGAAAAGAGGCTAACGAATCCAAATAAGTATTCAAAATTGAAATTGGACTACTAGAAGTATGTGTATTTTTCGCCAGCTTATTGGTCTAAATGCATGAAAAATCCAATCGTTTAGAGCCGCCTTAAAGGTATACGCATAAATCCAAAAATAGGGATCCGGGTATACGACGTATACCCGCGTATACCCTCCAATACACCACTGAGTATATTAGTTGTATATGCTTGCAGTAGGTATGCTAATGCCAGTATACCAGTATATACTTAGTATACTAATACGAATCTATTCATAATCTTACCATTAACTTTATTTTTTTTTTCATTAATTCCAACGTCATCACTACAACATCATAAACAAATAATGTGAAATAAAAATGTTTTCTTAACTTCTACCACCAAGCATTAAATAAAGAACTAAAGAAAAATTACGCCCACTAAAATTTTACGCCCGGGGATCAATCCCCGGCTTCACCCCCCTAGTTCCGCCACTGGGTAAACACTAAACAGTGGATCTCATTAAGCCCATATTATGTATTATAATACAATTATTTTTTGTACTGTAGTTATATAGAAACATATATTGGTCACTGGCCGCAATTGACAAAGTTTTTAACTCAGTTAGTCAAATTATTCAAATTCTGATTTTTTAAACTTTAAATATAGCAAAGACCATTTTTTTGTGCTACAGGAGTGTCCTGTGGCCATTAAATTTCTATTTTTCCAACGTGAATCCCGTTTTTAATTACAAATTATTTACTTACTGGATATTTTTTTTGAAAATATCGACGTATCAGAACCAAAACTCAAACGAGTATTTTTTAGTTACTTAGATAACTTTGTGTACCAAAGATAATACGGGTCCATATGATAATGGGCTTGGAAGATATTTAATATATTTTAAAAGTTGTCCAAGTATAATAAATACCAGATCCAATAGGAAATATTGCATCTGTTTTATATTTTTGTAAAACAACTTTTGGGACTATTGTCTTTAGAATAAATATTTCGATAACTTGTTTGAATTTGGAATTAAGATCAAAATATTTTTATAAAAATGATCCACTATATAATTTAGAGTAAAATACGAGGTTCTCATTTTAAAAATAGAAGTTAATTTGTATCGCCACAGGACACTCCTTAAGAAGTGCAAAAAATTTCAAAAATTTGAATATTTAAATTATTAAAGAAAAATAGGGGGGTTAATCGAGCATTATTGGCGAATCATTCTGTATACTGCGGTAGTGCGGTCAACAAAATTCTCTCTGGCCACTTATATAGTTATTTAACATATTAATATATTATGGAACCTATTAATAAGCGTATAAAAATAAAAGTGTGTAATTTAACAGTTGTAGTATGTTGACTGTTAATTGCTTTTAAATGTATTATTATAGTAATATAGCCTATGGGATTAAAAAATAATAATTGTTAATTTGATTGATTTGCTGTTTCTGAGATTTGAGACTGCATGTCGCGCATAATAAACAATAAATTAGACAATTATTATATGAATTCAATAATTAGTATTTTATTTTGAACTCAGGAACATTAGATTTTTTGGGTATCAATCATTATTTTTCGGTATATGCAACTAAGCTACAATCAACTCGACATCAATCATTAAAGACTCGAGATTCTGATTTTGAATTATCATTAATTGAAGAGATTCCTTATTCAAATCCCACGTGGTTAAAAGTTTGTGCCCGAATAGAAAATATATGATTTGATTTTATTTTTGGCGAATATTTATTTAGGAAACTCCCAAAGGCATGCGTAATTTGTTGTGTTGGATTAGAGACACATACGGAAATCCTAAGATTATTATTACTGAAAACGGCGTTTCAGACAAAGGACAAAACGAAGACGAGGATGCATTAATTAAAATGAGATATCATTATGTAAATATACTATACTTAAATACTTAATTCAATTAAACGTTAACAAATAATTCGTTATTTATTAATATTATTATACACTATGATATTCAATCATAAATTAAAGTACCTAATATTCACTCTAATTTTAAAAATGTATTTTATACGCCATTCTTCGTTATATAAATGTGATCAATTTTTAATTAACATTTAAGATTTACCAGTAATTTAACAATTTAAACAAATAAAGACTAAATATATTTTATATGCCTTAAATAAAATCTAAATATCCTTGTACTAAATAAAATGAAAATATGACATTTTTAGGGCTATTTAAGTGCTGTTCTCAATGCAATATACGAGGATGGGTGTAATGTGATTGGTTATGAAGTTTGGTCATTTATGGATTCATTAGAATGGTTTTTTGGATACAGGTAAAGTTATGTTAAATTCATCTAAAAATACATTATTTTTCAAAAAGCATATAGGTATTTCAATTAATTTGTGTATAATAAGTTATTCGGAATTATTTCTGTGGTAATATTTATTTTATCATCTTTCTTAAGACTGTATTATAGTTATAGGGAGAGGGCGTATAGTATAGGTAGTAATTATAAGAATATTTTAATTTCAATTCATGATTTTAATATTATGAATACATATATACGTATTTCATACTTTCATAGTTTCATGTACTTAATACTTAGTGATAACCATAGACCTTATATTATAAGGTATAAGGTATAAGGTCTATGGTTATAACAAAATAATATATATATAAATATTACGGTGAAACTTCTGTTTATGGACATGCTTAACGCAGATAAATTCTCAATAGCTGACATTTCTAAATGCCCCGGCATAATATAAACCGGTGGGAAAATACCCCATTACGGTATCACCTAATATAGCTGACATTTATTTTAATTCCTCTATACTGTTCACTGTAGAAAGGTTATGAAGGTTATTAAGTGTATAATATTATAATATTTAAAACAATTAATATCTGTATAAATATTTTAATGTTATAGGGAAAAATTTGGAATTTACAGAGTTGATTTCAATGAGCAGAATCGTTCAAGATATCCAAAAAAAACATTACAGTTTTTTAAACAGTTATTTCAAACAAAAACCTTACCTGATGTATTAAACGATTTGTATTGTGAAAATAACTGTGATAGGGGATAGTGAACTTAAGCCTAGATAATGTATAGTTAATAATCAATAAAACATTACATAATAATCCAACTTAAAATAGCTTAAACATTATAAAGATTATAATTTTCGCTATCTTAATTTTTTTTAATAATTTATTCCCTATAAATATTACTCCAAAATTACAGCAATTTAGAGAATACTCATGGGGCTAAATTTTTTAAATCATTGTAAAATAGAATTTAGTCTTATTACTTAAATATAAAAAATATTTTGGTGAGTGTCGATAAACTTTAGAGGGAGGGGGAGCTTGGCCCCCTAAGCCCTCTCAAGAGATGCGGTTTTTGTTTTCTAGGTGGTGGGTGTCCAAATATTGTTGGCCTCATAGATCAACAAAATTCACCACGCCTGCTCCACTGTCTCTCAGTATATTGTTATATGATCGCCTAGCATTGATGGCAGGGCGGAATGGAATGCTCTGTCCATTAGTTTATACTTTATAGGTCTATGATATTCTCCCTCTTGGGCCAGAGTGGCTGTGTGTATACGGTTGAGGAGAGAACGCAGGCGCTAAGGCCGTGTCAACTGTCAAGTATATCTTAGTCCGTGATAAATAAACAGAAAAAAATGTATTAGTTATATTTAAAATTTATAGTTGGTTTAAATGGATCGCTTTATGGATTACAGTAGAACTCCGATTATCCGAACGCCAATCAAACGGATGTCCAATTAACCGGACGAAAAAAAAAGGTCCTAAGCTAAAGATTATATCATAATATTATGTTATACTGTTATTATACTGATATTATGTTATTGTGTTATACTAGCTGGGAATGTTGGAACATAATAGTGAAGTACCCACTTACAATATGTTTGTATTTATTGATAATATTTACTTCAAAATAATCAAAATATAAGTATTTTATATTTTGGGGGTTCAAATAGTTAACTCGGTGGTGCAAAAGTCCCCTATGCACCCCCCAACGGTCAGTTGTTGTCTAATCATCACACAGTTTAGTCTGTCAATTGTTATATTATTATAACGAGTGAATTTTCGTGTTACAATGTCCCTAAATAACTTTTAAAATGTCATACGTCAATCATCCGGATATTTGCTTATCCGGACCACCCTTGACATTAATTAGTCCGGATAATCGGAGTTCTACTGTATCTTTCTATACATTCACTTCAAGGAACCACTGCTTCCATTAGTTTAACCATCTTTGTATTTCCCCTAAGTTATAGTTTTAAGTTTTTCTGTCGCTTTACGAATGGTATCATTAAAGTTCTCAAATTGTACGATTGAACTTAGGTTTTGAGATCGTACACTACGTCACTGCCCAGTCGATTTTACAAAATTAGTAAATTTTAGTAAATTAACTATTTCTCCTTAATCGAATTTTGATATTTTGTTGTATTTGTAATTCAAAAACGAATAGAAAACCGTAGATACTTGACATTTTACTTTGCCAGTTGCTTATATTAGCATTTTTTATATGTACATGTTAACATTTTGGAATTATTTTGTCACCTTTTGATATTATAGAAATTTAAAAATATTGAAGATACCTTAGAATACTACTTAGAATGATGCTTCAGTCCCCTTAAACCACCAGTATATTTGATACACGCTATATATGTACTTCTTTGACAGTCAATCGCGCGTGTGATGGTCGTTCAATGGAGAACCGGCCTTTTTTGAATTGTTGGAACCTGCAGTCATTAGTTACACAACAACTTAAAGCATTACCTTAAAAAGCTAACGTTATCAATTCAAAAGTCTCTGTAGCATTTGTACCGATTTCCAACAAAATTTAATACACCCCCGGTCTGTAATATCGTGAAATCGTGTTTTTAATTTTATACAATAACTTTGAAGTCTGATCGACGATCGTGAACTGTCAATGCTGCAGCCTGCAGGTTTGTGATAGCGACTTTTAATGTTAATGTATACTATTATCTAAAATAGGTACTGAAAATTATCTCTATACGTAAATAGGGCCGAATCTAGAGAGAAGTGCTTGTGTGCTATAGCATCCCTTGAGCCATTTTGATATTTTTTCTTTTATAATTCACCACTATTATTCATTAGTAAAATTAAACTTAAAGCGTTATGTGTTACTCGGTTATTGTTTGTATACTCTTTAACTAAAAAGTTCTAAACAAGACTTATCTAGCGCTATGAAAATATAAAAATTTAATAAATGTATTTGAGAATATACGAAAAGGTCCAGATATTATATTTTCTCAATTATTTAAGACTTTAAGAGTACTACTAAAAAGCACAAAATATGTTTGGGGAAGATTTAAAAATGCCTTTTCTTTGTGGAAAACAAACTTAAAGAAACAATGCAGTTCTAGGCGATGAGCGATCCGGTATAATAGTTTAAAATTACTATGTTTATACAATTTTTAGATTTAGACTACATTATACGTTTTGAACTTCAGTTCAGTGACCGACTTGTTGTATATGACTTGCATCATACATTTATTTTTACAATTCTAAAAGTATTACTACTCACCCAAATTTTAAAAATTATTTTTACTCAGAATTAGAATTATCTGCAGAAATAAATGTATGGAAAAATAAATGGTACAAGATAAAAACTGATTTCCACAAATTGCTGTCGAGGCATTACAACACAGTGGTAATATTTTTCTAAATATTAAAATATTATTACAAAATTTTACCACTCTTTCTGTTTTAATAACTATTATACAGCCAAACGATCACAAAGACTGAACAAATATTTACGATCTACAATGGCATTATCACGATTCATGATTAAATGGTTTAGCTATAGCCTGTATTGAATATACATAAATATAAGCTGGTTGATGTTCATTAAATAATTGTTGACTAATTTTCCAGAAAAAAACATTGAATGATGGAGCTGGAAGACTGGTCAAAATAAATTTGTCTTTTTATTAATTAATAGTTTTTATGTAAAATGTTTATGAGCTCTGTTAAGTTATTTGTAATATAGATACAAATGTGGGAAAATTAATATTGTTTTTTTTATGGCAAGTGTCAATCCAAAAAAAGGATAATGTATGTGTTTAGTTTAGTTGATAAATTATAATCGTTTATCGTAGTACCACCACAAAAAACTATATCTTAGATCCGCCCATGTACGTAGTACATATGTCATATACTCATATTATTATGTATTTATATTTGATTGTAAAAATCAAATGTAAAGTAACGGATATTGTTGAAACTGAGAGTACTAGAAATTAAAATTGTATGATAGTAGGTAGTCAGAAATCACAATCTACACACCCTCGATGTACAATACCTACAACCTACTTACATTAATAGTCGCTACTCAAATAATGAACGTTTCTCTGAAAAGAAAAAAATTTTAAGTTGGTTCAAATTACTGTAATAAATGGTAGGCACCATTTTTTTTATAGTTGTTAAATATATATTAGAGGTGGCATACCTATTGGCATAGAACAATAGTTATTAGTTATTGATATTAATATTTAAATATTTAATTATATTATAGAACTAGGTATAGGTATTCAGATAGTCAGATGGAACGGTACGGAACCGTATAGGTACGTGAAATGTATCACCATGACATCATGTAATAATGTTAAACAATATAATATTTTAAATTTCATTAAAATTGAATACAATAAAAAATCAGTGTATCATAATATTATGTCTATGGTGGTATCACCATAGGTATCACAGAGGGGGCATCATACCTTGATAGTTGAATTTGTTTGGTGGTTGAATCAATATTATCAACTGTTGTCTGTTGATGTTTAAATTCAAAACGATCGTTATCAACGCTGGTCTCTGGCAATTTGCAAAGCGTCTCATACCATAGGAAAATATTATGCTCATACTGTTTATAATAGTGTTTATAATAAATTATTAAATTGTTTATAGTAAATATAGTAAACAAAACTGTGTAATTTTAAAACGTATTTTTTTTTTATTCAATCGGTATTCGGTATTAAACATACCATAATTGATTGTTAAAGAATATCGAAAACGCTAAACAATAAAAAAATGTCCGATATACGAAAACGACGTTCCAGTTTTTTCCCAAAACCTGTTGAAGGTACTTTTTGAAAAATGTTACAATTATTAGTCGTGTTTATTTTTTTCTATTTAGTACCTTAAATTATTAAATCATTGTTTTAGAGAATCATGAAAAACAATTGGAGTTGTTTAAGAACATGAATTGGGTAAATGAAGAAAAAGAAAACATAGTTTCTAATTCAATGATATTTGGCGGTCAAGGAAAACAAACATTACAAGAGTAAGTTTATATCTTGAAACAATGCATTTTATATCCTTCTTCATACAGTAAAATGTATGATCGTTGTAAGTTATACAGAGTGATTAACCAAGATGCCTTCATTCTTCAACAATGTAGTTACCTATTCAAAATTGATTTATGCATATATTGCCAAGCATTTTTTATGATATTATTGCTATTAAAGCAATTTATTTTACTAATATAGTAGGTTGAGTTAATTTTCGATGAAAACATTTAATTTAGTATAGGTACTTTAAAAGTTTCAAGTACCCACGAATAACATTTATAAATTTAATTATTATCCGTTTAAATATCTAATATTGTCGTAACTTGAACTTAAAATATCTATTTACAAAAAAAATGATTTATATATTTAGATTATTTGGCTACAATATGAACTACTTATATAAACTTTGTTTTACATTTTAAAACTTTAGCTAAAAAAAGTCAAACTTTATAAATTCTTAACCCAAAATAATTGTAGTGATTTTGACGAATTTTGTCAAAATTCTAACTTCATACACTAATATAAAATTATTGTAGATTTATGCTATACTTTTTTTTTAATTTCCACAAACTTTCAATATTTTGACTGGGCAAAAAAATTTTCATCGACAATAATTAAAATTTAAATAATAAAAATCAATTTTTTATTATGCTTTAAATCACTCAAAACGAGTGAAAATATTTTGTTAATTATATGGTGTATAGACACTGATAATAACATTGAGTAAAATATGGAATGTACTGTTATTTTTTTAGATAAAAATTAATATACTTAAAAAATACAAAACTTGGTTTTGTAATAACTCGAAACCTTATAACAAATTATTTTCAAAAACATATACTTTTTGAAATAATTGAGTAATTCATGTTAAAAGAATCACCGGATATATAAAAATAGTTTTTTAAATAACACCAGACACAAATAAATAAAATATAGTTATAACTACCTATGTCATAATAATAATTTTTGCATAACCATAATATCAGCTTAATTATCTTATATAATAAGAAACTACAGTCTGCAAGTGATTAAGTTTATTTGTAATATCAATAAAACATTATTTTTATTATTTTGAAAGTTTTAAACCTATTTTAATCTTATTAAAATATTTGTATGCTTTTTAAATTTCTTTTATAATGGTATACATATTCCTTAGATATACTGAAAAATTGAGAAGTCGTAAACAAGAATATCCAAAATTGGTATCTATTAAACAAGAAGAACAAATTCATTTAAAAGAGTATGTATTATTTATAAATGTAATTTAGAATTTATTTTGTTGTAAATGATCTTATACATTTTATAATTTTTAGGAAATTACGTAAAAGCAAAGTCGAAATAAATTGGGAAACTGCTTGTGATGGATTAACAGACTTTGAACGAGATTTTGCTTTTAATAGACCTAATTATAAGTGTTTAGTCGAAAAAATCCATTTACTCACATTACATACGTCCTTAGTTAAAAGATCCAATTATGAACTAAATTTTATTTTAAATGCATATAATAGGCGGGCTAATGAAGAAATAAATAAATTACAAGAATTGTTTATTGATAAAATTGTAGAAGACAGTGGTGTTGGTACTTCATACTGCAGTAGTGATACAAATTCATCAACTACCGATTCGTCTGAAGATGAAAGTTTAAAATCTAATTAAATTTTGCAATATTATTAATACAAATTATACAAAATAAAAAAAATTAATTTCATATAAAATTATAAATTGTATTACCTACATTTCAATACATATTAGATTTTTGAGTTAATAAATGAATAAATCCTAATACAAAACAAATAGACTCAAATGTTAATTCTATATAACCAATTATTATTTCCAAATAAATTATATATGTTTGCCATCTAATTAAATGCAATGTACCCAAGATGGTTGCTATGTTAAGTATTGATGATACAACAATAGGTGGTGCTTTATCTGTAAGGTTTCCTTTGCTGCCCAAAGCTATACGGCTTCTTTGTAATGGGTACAATAAAGCGAGAATGAACCATTCAACAGCTGCAATCCTCGTTGGATAAGGTAATTTATAAGTTTTTAAAGTGCAAACTATTATCTCAATAATGTAATACAACAAAAAATAATAACGATTAAAATAAAGAATAACTTGGTAATGTAAAGAAGGAGCCATATTTAAAATAATACCTCTTAAACTTTTATTCCTAAATAAATGATTGTTTTTTATTTCTTGTAAATGGTTGCTAGGATACAAAAATATATCACAAATCGCTCTATAAGTCCTCCTGATATAACTCTTTTTTTGATAACGGTCTACCGAGAATATATTTTTATTTGAGGTTCCATAAAAATATATGCAAACTGTTGAGGGAGAAACAATCTGAATTCTGGATGTTTAACAATATTAATAGTAATACTAAATTCTAAGAAAAGTGGATTGACTGTTGACTTTGTTACACCAGTGACCGGTTATTAAGATGTCACTATTCACTATTTCACTCACACACATTTTTTACCAAATCGGCTTCAAACTCATAGCCATTAGACGGAGCCATGGACTGGTTGGGTGGGTGCCGGGTGGAGCAGTGACAGCCATTATCATAGCAGTGTTGTAATATTAGCATTTTATACAATATATTATTAAAACTCAAAATTAAAAATTCATATCTTTTTAAAAAACATAATATTACCTTAATCATTAATATTAAGGAATATATATTATTCATTCGGAAACAATATAATTTTAGTGTAACCAACTCAAAATTCACGTGGGCTCCCAGGAAGTAAGTCTATAATTAGTATAGGGTTTATAATTTAGGTTTATGCTTCAATCGCGGACTACGCGTGATTATACGCATAGCTGCTCTATCCACTATGTATAATATTTATTATTTAATATTATATACTTATATTCATAATAAGACCGTGTTCTAAGCTGGTCCATGATGGCAGATGCAGCTGCGGTCATCGTGTTATCACTTATTAGTTATTATCAACCAATGAACCAACCGGGTGACTAATACAAATTACCAGTAAAAATTCTGTGGCCGTCGCCCGCCGCTGGCTTACCACGTCGTTTTGTGGTAATACATTATCTAAGCTTACCGCGGTAGAAACACAGAACATACAGTAGTAGGTTAGGTTATCAGCACCCATCGCTCAGTCTGTTGTCTGTTTACTCGGCAGTCGGCGGTGTCAGTTTGTTAAATGTTAAATTGTTAACGTTAAGGTCATTTATTTTCGTCTGCACAGTAGTCTGTAATGTTGTAGTGCCTAATGCCTATATATTATTATATTTTATATAGATAATAATACGTCTAGTATTTTCGATACTCACTACTCAGAGCAGCTCTCTACTCGTTGATAAAAACATACGTCATTCCGCATTCGTCAGTGGTCGGTCCAATCATTCGTAGTAAATTACACCCGAAGGTGCTCTTATCGTCCAAAGTGTCGAAACAACCCCTACGACACGAGGCCGCTTGAACGGAAAAAAACGTATCCCGAACAACACGTTATCCGGCACGCGCACCCACCCGCTCGTCGTACCTCCCACTCAAGTTCACAGACGTACGAAGAGAGTGAAAAAACGATGTGAGCCGCGGCCGTCGGCGAGCCAATTTTTCGTCCGTTGGGCGGTAGTGCCTACTGCCTCTTCCCTCGCACGAGTACGCGCACTCGTCCGATGCTGTTGTGCGACTTTTTATTTCGTTTATTTAATATAATAATATTCCTAACGAACCGAAGTGCGTGTTGACGTTTAACGTTCCATTTTCACTTATTGAAGTTTTTTTCGCATGGTGTAATCGACATGAAAACCGACTTAACCATAGAGATGCCAGACGGACGGTTGAAACAATTTGGTTACAGGTTCGTACATGATTTTTGGTCTTTTCAGTCTAGGTATACAAATTAACTGTGCATAGGTAGTCTGGTGTGTAGGCAGCAGTGACTTACTTCTAAACTGACATTTGCACAGAAAGCTCCTGAAATTAATTTATACTTTGTAATGTACATTTTATTGTACAATTAACTTACATTTTTTTTCATCTATTTTGTCTTTACCTTGAAATTTATATCTGTATGTACCTCCCTATGAAGGTAGGTATATACAAAATGTTTAAGGAAAAGTGTGTTAGATATCAAGGCCTCCTAAATGTTTCCCCCTAAAGTTATACAGATCATTATTAAATCGTACATAGTAATAAATGATTCTTTTAAAATTTGTATCTACCTAGGAATTTATTTTAGTTTCAGTGTGTAGGTATGTAGGATTGCAGTTATATGAATAAGTAGATAAAATATCATATTAGATATCATACCTAGTTATTTCCAAGGCTAAATGATTTTGTTGAAATCTGTATAGGGACCTATTACTCTTTAATTACCTATCTTTTCGAAATTGTAATAGGTAACCTTCTTCATATTCAATCCAGTATTGTAATTTCAGTTTTCAATAGAGGAGGCTCTCAAGAAAGCACATCTGCTTAAATTTTTAGAAAATTACACTTCCCACCTCACTTGTTTATAATTTAAATATTTTTTACTCTAATTGTTACAAAACTTTGTAAACTATTATGACAATTTCTATTGATTAACAAAAATTTTATTAGCTTGTTGTTTTTAGAATTTGTGTTAACTTTAGATTTTAGAAATAAAACTATACGGGATTATGATATTAATTATTATTATTGTTGCGCATACAACAATATTATGTTCTTTTTCCTTCACAAAATACTCACATCTACAAACATACATACATGCATGTCCCCGCATGTGTCTAAATATAAATATATTACAACTAACAATTATTAATTAAAAATGTATCATTGTGACAATAATAGTTTAGTAGGTACCTAGTTTAGTAGTTTTGAATCTGGTATTGCAGACTCCTAATTCCTAACATTTAAAAAAAAAAAAAATGTATTTATACCTATCTTCAAACATTAAAGATTTACCTATTGGTTTTCAAATTTTAACAAGAACATATTCCTACAAAAATTGTATTTAAATTATTAAGAATTAAACCTGATAATATAAAATTATAGTGCTGAGTTGCATAAAAAATGTATTCATCTCATTAAACATCATTTGTTACTAGATTATGTTTAAGGAACCAATGCCTCACTATTGATTCATTATAGCTAGTAGCTGCCTATGTTGAGTCATTGTTTATGCAACCCAGCATAGGTTCTAATCATAATTAGTTTTAGGTAAATACGTATTTGTTTATACTTATTTAGAAGTGTCTTCAATAAAATGATGTATCTATTGGTAAAACAATTGGTTTATTACCTATTTATTGTTAAAATTAAAATACTTTTCATTTAGCCATTTAAGTTGGCACTTATCTCTTTATTTATAAAAACAATATTGTTTGAAAAATAATTAATGAATCACTTCAATCTTATTATAAAAGCTTTTAATAATCTTATTTATTTTTTATCGAGAGTACTTTCAAAGTAATTTACTTAACAATAATATCATGTACCTATTTCATTAGATAATATTCATTTTTGTTTTTATATGATGACAATTATTCTATAATAAACATTATTGAGTATTTTATGGTATTTTATTTTATTTTTTCAAAAGTTAAGTATTAGTCATTCAAAATTTAAAAATGGCTAAATGACATCATGCAACACTAAATCATTAATTTAATCATCCATTAAGTTTATTAAAATAATCAGAATGATCATATGCGGATAATATTATATAATATTTTATTTAAGAATGATTAACAGAAATAAACTATAAAGAAATTAATTATAAAGTAAAGGTAAAAGTAATTTTATATAATTTTTGACCATGTTTATCCCTGTCAATAACTTTTTATCTAATACATATAATTATTAATTATTTATATATTAAACAGTGGTTCTCAAACTACTAAGTATTAATATTACCAATATAAAATAAAAATTAGTTAGCATAGTAAGTTGTTTATATAATAAGCATTTAATAATTTTCTTAATTTTTCATTTTTAAGCCTTAAATAAAAAAACTTGCTCATCTGTACAGAAGTAGATTAGGTTACAACTGGGACACTGTAATGTATGGTGTTAAATTTGAATTCAATGATATAAAATCATTGTATATGAAAACGATTCTGAGCAAAGACTAGTCATAATATTGTTGGTCAATAATATTATCAAGTATATTTTATGTTAGTGTGATTAAAGTAATTTATTTTCCTATTAGGCATTATAATAACAGTAGATTAAGTTCATTTTTTTTTTTTTTTTTTAAATACTTTTGAAAATGTGATTGTGTCAAAAAATATAAAAATATACTCTAAAAGTTTCATATACTTACGAATAATATTTAAAATTACAATTAAATAACTAAACTTGTAATTCTAGGTTTTAATATGTAATTTTGTCTAAATTTGAACTTAAAATAATGTAAAAAATAACTGTTCATACATTTATTTCACATATTTGGTTAGGTACACTGAATTATGTATTTATGTGTGAGAATCCTTGTTTTAAATTTAAAATCCCTACTTAAAAATTAAACATTTAATAACTTTTTAATTTCAATAAATTTGAAAATGTTCAATATTTTGATAAATGTTGTCAATACTTGAATTTTAAATATAAAAAAAAAAAATTGTTCCTATGAATATTTACCAACTGCTAATATAAAAACTTGTAAAGAATTTTGTATTACATTTTCTAGCTTTTTGACCCAACAATAAATGAAATAAATTTAACTGACATTTATGGAATTTAAAAAAAAAAATGATAATATCTATAAATAACTCAAAACAAGTCAAAATATTTTATTGTGAATTGTATCATGTATAGAAACGATAAAATAAACATTTGATAAAAATTTCATGTACCTACGGTTATTGGTATTGAATAACGACAAAATAAGAAAATAGTTATATGATAATTTGTTATATTAAGTGTGAATATCCAATGTCTAGCTTCAAAAGTTTGTAAAAAAGTAAATTTGAGTTTCTGTTAAACTTTTTTTATCATTGAATGTAGGAAAACTAAGAGGAAACGGCAGAGAATCTTATATTATTTTTATAAACTTGATATAAATAGAAAAATGTTGATGAATTTCTAAACCCAAATTATTTTTTCAAATTTTGTGATTTTAAAGAATTTTTGAACATGATAACTTGACACTCATAAAAAATATTGTGAATTTACACTCAATTTTTTTTTTTAATTTTTACTAACATTTAACCTATGAGGAATGTTCTATTACATTTTAAAGTTTTTTGACTAACCAACAAATTTTGTATCAACAATAGTTTAAATAATTAACTATGGCGACACTTCTTCTCCGGAGCCGGCATCGGCTGCTTCGCAACCGACGCCTTAAACCGCTCGGCCAATCCATCCCCCTAGTAATAATACTTTATTTATTATAATTAACTACTATATCCACCGTGTATGTTCATTGTTTGTATAGAAAAATAAAATAAATTCTAAACAGTTCGTAGTACAATAATGGAATTGGGGTTTCCGCTGGAGTACGATTACCAAAAAGTATATGTGCTAAAATATATTATGCACTTAACGTCAAATATCCTATATAATATCAGAATTATAATTCATATTTATACCGGCTTGTTATTCAGGTTTGAATTTGAAATAGTCACCTGTATCTAACAATGTATCCTTCATTTGTATTATTAATATTAAAATATATATACATTTTCTAAAAATTGTATATTAATTAATATTTAATGGACCTTTTTAACTAATTTGTTTTAAATTAAATTATTTATAATGTTAACTTTTCCTGCTTAATTGTTTTATAATTAAGTACCTAGATTGAATGTACCCAAAATGTTACCATTATCTATACTGATAATTCTATTTAATTACTACATTCAAAATGAATAAAATGTAGACAAAAATAATGAAAATAAATTTTTTTCCGATGCTTTCCTTTCCTTTTTTTATATACATACGTATAGTAAGTCTCATATTAAACATATTTGTTTTAATTAGGCATGTTTTGTTTTCAATTTTAAACTACCTCACCTAATAGTTCTTTCATAATAACTAATAACTGTTAATCATATTATATTGTGATTTGCAAAAAAAAAAGATGTCCTTAAAATATTTTATTCTTTTCGAAGTAGGTAGGTTTAGTTTTAAAACCACATATTCCTATTTATTAATATTGATCTGAATAAAGTATGAACTTGTTTTTAATATGTTGCATAATATATAAAATGTACATACCATAACATAAAAAACCTTGAAGTATAAAACAATTAAATTTAGAAAAATGTTATATATTATTTCTAGAGGATACTGGATAATGTTAAGTAGTTTCTTAATAATCTATAATAATGATTATTCTATTTTCAAGGCTGAAATTAGTGTTTAGAACAACATTACTATGTAGGTACATAAAATATTTTATTATTATTAATACATTTTTAATTAGGTTCTGTTCTTTTGCATTTTGGAAAGCATTCTCTAGCTAGCTCAAATATATAAAACATATATTATAATATATACCTATGTGACTAGTATCTTCTAATTGTTTTAGTTATTTTATTTATTATTACCTATATAAATTATATTGGATTGCCTGTATTATCATTTGATGTACAGACTCTTTTTAGTTGGGCATACATAGTTGTTGGGCATTATATTATGTATAGGTATTTTGTAAAAGAAAATTTTGAAAAAATATTATTTAGAAAATAATTATCGTTGTGCAATTTTGATTTGTTTATCTGTCTCTTTTGATTTTTCCTATTTTGGTTTTGGGCTTAACATTAATATAAATTGTAAATTACTAATTAAAAATAATTAAAACTGATGTAGCTTACCTTGAATTTATTTTATAAACGACACTAAGCCAACACAGTTTTATGCATTGGATATTTTTGTTTAGTCTTTTAGGAATTATCACATTAAAATCTTTATTATTGCTTTTTTTATACAGTTGTTGATGAATACAATGTACTCAATGACACTTCTAGATCTTTACTAAACGTTCAAGTAAATTTAGTTATCAGCAAATAATTTACTATTGCATACACTGTATTATATAATATAACTTTACACCATATAACATATTAATGTAATACTAATTTTCATTTACCTAAATAACTTAAACTAAGTACCTATAAAAAATCCCATCGACTGCCTAGGGACACAAGAATCTACGCTTATGAAACTACCATCCGCTAAGGTAGGCAGTGTCTGGTCGCCTGTATGTGTGCCATTGTTGTATTTTTACCCGTATTTTTAATATTTCAATAAAACAGCGATGCATGGGGTTAAGCTATGCCAAACAGTTCACCCCCTCCCCCATGTATTTGTTCCAAACTTAAAAAATAATGGTATAAGAATCCCTCCTAAACTATAATAAAATTATTGCATAGTACCAATGTAGAATTAGATTGTTAATAAAATGTTGATAAATTGAGCTTCAATCACTACAAACTATAATCAAAAAAAAAAATATTATGTTTAATCATTTATAATACTTATGCAATATGCATTATTATTAGTTACAAATTAAAAAAGGTGGGTAAGTGGTTATCGCTCTGCTGTACAGTAGATTACAACTGGGCCACTGTAATCAATGGTGTTAAATTTTAGTTCAATAATATAACATCATTGTATGAGACAAACAATTCTGAACGAAGACGGTGAGTCATCCTATGATATTACCGAGGATATTACTAAGTATATTTGATGATATTATTGTGAATAAAGTAATTTATATATAAACTATTTACGTGGAAACTTGTTTTAAATTTTCAATCCTTAGCTATATTGAGTTGTAAGATGTGTAGCTGGGGGCCCACATCCCGAGTCTGGTAGCCCTGATAAGGGCCATTTTTATTTTTATTATGATTAGTAGGTTGAATGTTATATGTCATCGTGAGATCTAGGACAGTACTCAGCCTGTACTCAGTAACTTATGTCCACCACACCTACATCGATACAATTCACTAATACGAGAGTGGAATAAATGCTTCTCGAATACAATGCTCCCAATTCAAAACGACATAAACACTGGACCTAACATAAGGCTAAAATCAAGGAAACCTACTTGGAGGCTTGCCCAAAAATTAATATCAGGAAAATTCAATATAAACACAGAATGGAATAATGAATGGAAAAGCAATAATCCCGACAAACTCAACCTAATCAATAACCCAACAGAAGGAGTTCCGGGCTCTGACCTCCCGAGAAGAGATTGGGTAGCATTAAATAGACTTCGAACGGGACACGGAAGAACAGGACACATGCTCCACAAATGGGGACTAAGGGACTCGCCAGGATGTAATTGCGGACACAGAAAGCAAACTGCTACACACATTACTGATGAATGTACTATTCGTCGATTCCAAGGAGGAATGAAAGAATTACACAAAGCCACAACAGATGCAGTGCAATGGCTGAACTCCCTGGACATAAAGATTTAATTAAAGACCTATATATGTATTACCTATATAATTTGTTATCAATCAGCTATCTTTTATATTTTATTTATTAATCTATTTTAATACTTGTACCTATTTTATACTATGTGAATTTTATTATGTTAAACCGTGAATGTTATATCTAAGCCATACGAAATAATAATAATAATAATCCTTAGCTATAAAAGTTGAACATTTTATAAATATTTAACTTTAAAATAGTTATTAAATTTTAAATTTGATAAATTTTGTTGAACACATCATTGTAAAATCAATACATTCAACGCTCCACTCAGAATATAAAAATTTAATTATTTTGAATCATGACTACCACCAAACATGAAACAATTTATGATGGTAGACCACATGCATTTGTAGTCAAATATGAGAGTAGCACCACAATTTTTCTTAGATCCAACTATAAATATGTTGATATTTCTATGAAATAAACCCAAAACTGATTGAAATATTAAATTATAATACATTTTTATAAATTTAAAAAAAAAATGTTAATTAGGTATTTAATTTTCATAAAATAAAATCAGAACTATTCAATTGTTTTCTTTCTTATCTTTGTCACGAATGTAATTTTTTATTTTAGTCACATAGGTACCTATTAATGTTATCTTTTCATTATTGAATAATATAAAAACTACATTTTTGTCTAATTTAAAACATGAGAAAATACAGTTTTATACTGAACAAATTTACAATTGCATTTACTACTATAGTAATTTATTTTATTTTAAAATATTTATATATTTTTGATTTGTAATTCCGTGGCCTTTAACTAATTAGTATATTAATTTCAATTATAACTAAAATATAAATAAATAATAGTAGTAAAATAACAATTTTTATAATTATTATTCTTAAACAAAATATTACGTTCTTTGAAAAAGTCTGAATAGTTAATGATTCTAACATGATTCTTACTCAACCAATATTATCCTATCCACTAAATAATGTATTTACCTTCTGCTTATCATCACATTTTTTACAATATGACACTATGTTGTAATAATATTTTGTTACAAATATATCTTGTAATAATGTTTTACCAATTCTTCTAATTATTGAAATTTAGTTTTTGACTGAAATTTCAATGAAACAAAAATGATCATATATTTAAACAAAAAGTACCTATTTAAATTTTGTATTTTAATAAAAATATTATTGTCTTAAGTTGTATTTGTTTATAAATTTTAATATTTATTTTATTCTTATTTTTCATATTCAGAGCTACTGTGACATGCAAAGTTATCATTCGCATATTGTTTGTACTTATTAATAACATCTATTGTATACCAACATATTGTGTTTGGATGATTATATTTTTCCCTTTGCGGAAGATTCACCCAAACCTATATTGGAAACTTGAAGGCTTATTTTTCCATTGGCTATTAGCAATGGTTTCTATGTGGTCTTGGTCAGCTGGTTATGACAGTAAGTAATATTAACTATTTACATAAGACTTCACTCATGAATACTCTGATGTTCGTTTAATGTTCTGCCCCAATTTAGATATGGGTATCATTTTTTGATGTATATTTGATTTTGTTAATTATTTATCTATTGTGCTATTGTTAGTATAGTTTGTAAATATTATTTTAAATAAGAAAACATATATGCTGATTTTTACTGATCCAATGTTGTATATAATGTTGCCCAACAAAGTAGGAACCAGATATGTGTTTTATAAAATATGTTTGTTTTTGTTATTAACATGTTGAATTTGCCAATTTAATAATTTTAAGACTTATAATATTTAACATTTTTTTCTTTCAGTTAATTAAAAGTATTTAAATATAATATATTTTTTTTTTATAGTTGTTGAAATGGGTGATGATATTAGATTATGTTTGAATGATCGTACACTAGTGTTAGTTAATCATCAATCTACAGCAGATGTGCCAATGCTAATGACAAATTTTAATTCCAAGGCCGGTGTGTTGCCCAATATTATGTGGATCATGGACAGGATATTCAAGTTTACTAATTTTGGTATTGTTTCTATTATACATCAAGATTTTTTTATCTTATCGGTAAGTGTTAACTTTTCATATTTTTAAAGTTGATAAGATCTATTGTTTATAATTAATTTTTTTAATAGGGTAAAGATCAGAGAGAACAAGCTGTTAAAGAATTAAGAACTCACATTCGTGGATCATATTTGCCTCGTCAGCGAAAATTAATTATTTTATTCCCAGAAGGTGGATTTTTAAGAAAAAGACGAGAAGCTAGTCAAAGGTAAATCAATAAAATAATTTGATTGTTAATACTGTTTGATAATTATTAATTTTAGGTATGCACAGAAAAACAATTTACCTTTACTAGAACATGTTACATTACCAAGATTAGGAGCTTTTTCAGCAATCATTGATGAACTTTCACCCAAACAAACAAAATATGGTGGTGTGACAAACAATAATACTGAATTCAGTAAGCAATAGTAATTGAGGATTCCAAGAACCGGCTATCTCGACTTATTTTAAAAACGCATGTTTTTACATTTTTTGATAAAGGATAATTTAGTTCACATTTTGGTGCAATAACCGGGTTTTTTCATCTGTTGGATAAGCTAATATAGGAATGAAGATGTCTGGTATAAAATAATTCAATAACCAAGTATTATTGTTTGCCTCTTGATCAATTCCAAAATATGGATATAGCCGGTTCTTGCACTGGACCCTTAAATTTATATATAATATGCATATTATAATTATTATTAATTTCTTAAAAAAATTCAATGCAAATATATTGAGTTCTGTTTTAATATTTAGTAAAACATACAAAAAAAAAATCTATAGTAGTGTCAAGTGTTCATTGGTATAAAAAGTTTGTATACAATTATTCTGTGGATTACAATTTTCCAGTACAGTAAAATGTATATCATACTCACTATTATATTATGAATTACCTGATATTCATTAATTACAAATTTAGTGATTACTATTTTTTATATCAATATTGTATTACATTTTTATTCTAACTCAAATGCAATATATTATTGTAGATGAAAATACTGACAAATTAGCTTGGATTTTGGATGTAACAGTAGCATACTCCGAAGGAAGACCGTTGGATTTACCCACTATCATTATGGGTCAGAGAAGAGCTTGTCGTACACATATGTACTACAGATTATTTCCCAGTTCACTTGTATGTCAATTTTGAAAATAATAATTTGATTGTATTAGTTATGATAAATTGACATTTTTAGGTTCCCAGAGAACAAGAAGAAATGACTAAATGGTTGTTTGATCGCTGGGAGGAAAAAGAACGTATCCTAGAGACATTCTATTCAACTGGTGAATTCCCCAGTCATAAAGGATCACGTCAATCAGCTGTTATCCAACAGGATTGCGTACGGTTCCTTATATTACATCTATTTTTTATTGCTTCGTCATATGCCCACTACAGGATTATTCATTATTTGATTGGATTAGTATGGTAAACTTGAAGAAACTAGAAAAAAAAATAACAAAGAGAGGAAGAACGAACATTATATAGAGTTTTTCTGTATACATATATTTATTTTCTGTATGTATATACTATAAACTTATATAACAGCTGGCAATAAAACCAATGAATAAATGTGATTAAACTCTAGGTTGTTGTAAAAAATATATAATAAACATTTTTATAAATAACATTAACATCTAATGATATCACTTACAAAATAACTTAACTAAAAAGCACGAACGAGTTTAGTAACTGTGATTTACTTTTAAATGTTTCATATTTAAATTATTATATGAACATCAGTGTTTATTTTGTTTTCTTCTAACTATTGATTTAATTTTGTTTTTTTTGTAAATATCAATACTGTAATTTTAAGAATCATTATTTTATTATTGTTTGTTTCTTTTTCTTATATATATATATTTATATATATATTTAATATAATATACATATTTATATTTATAGGTTCTGTATTTTAATGTAAAGTATGGTTTACTAATACATTTTTATTTCATTTTGAGATGAACTTTATGACATGTTGTGCTTGTGATTTGAGGATCGATGTTAATCAGGCCTCTGAACCTATAGGTTTAATGATTATATCTTGCACCTGAAATAAATTGTTTTAACTGTTAAACTATAAAAAAAAAACTTGTATATTATTAATATTTATTATTTTCCAATGTATGACAATTTTGGAAAACAATTCTCCAAGGTTAGCATATATTTTGATGATAAATTAGAGCTTTGTATTTATTTTAATGCTTTATATGTTTTTGTATGCCAACTAATGTGTGCAAGATATCATGTTAATTATTAGTCTTCTGTGTTGTGACTGTGATAACATTTATATAATATATTATATTATATTTTATAGTATACGATTTATTCTTGTATTGTTATACATTTTCACTTTAAATTTACATTTTACTTAACTAAAATCACTGTACAGAAGACATTTGTAGATTGTAATCATCCATTTGTTTTATTGTTTTCTTGACATTATGACATATTATTTTGTGAATCATTTTTATTTTTTATAATTTTGTGGATATATTATGTATACACATATATATGTGTGTATATATTATACTTTCTCTTAAACACCATTTTATACTGTTTTTTTTTTTATTATTATTATTTATTAAAACAAACATTGTTTAATTATAATAATTTTGCATTATTTGTATTTAATGTAAAAAAAAACATATTCATACATTTTCGAGTGATTGCAATTATTACAAAAAGGATATTTTATATCATCATGTGAATAAGTGAAATTGAAATGTATTTTTAAATCCATTGGATAAATATTGTGTTAATTTTAAAGAATTAATGAGCATAAACTGCAACAGTTAAGAGAAGGTTGTTTTTTTAATTCCAGAACTATTGTACTTTTGATGGAATACTTATGTTTTATAATAGATTCTGCGAAGGCCAAGATTAAAAAAAATAAAAATAGTTTCTTAACATTTAATATCTTTTAAATTTATAAATTATTTACTTATCTGGCAATAATATAAAAATTTAAATTTTACATGTTTAATTAATAAATAAGATGAATTTTATTTATTGCTAGTAATTTAATAAATTTTAAAAATATTCATTATTAAAAAAAAAATTGAGAGAAATTTTATTACTTGTACGTGTGGAGGAGTGGCCAATACAAATTCGATGGTAGATGCTACATCTGCTGGAGAAATACTGGGGTACGTTTCATATAAATGTTTATCAAAGTTTTCTCCCAGTGAATTTTTGAAAATTGATGATTTCACAAGACCAGGACTGACACACGTGACCTTGATGGGGCTTTTCAATGCCCTTAATTCTTGCCGCAGCCCTTCTGTGAGTGCTCGTACAGCATGTTTAGTCGCGGAATAGAAATGGAATGGACCATATGAAGGAACATAATGCGCCAGATTACTAAGCCCAGTATGAAACAGTAAGTTAAATAATCAATACAAAAATACAACTAACGGTTTATAATTTTTTTTTTTTTGAACCTGCTCAAATGAATAATGTGAGCGTCTTTCAAGTTGCGACTATTCATGGATCTCACTGCCTCCCGTGAACAAACACTTAACGCTATAACGTTTACATCCAATATTTTTTTCCATTCTGATACGGTACCATCTATATTCAAAACAAAAAAAAATTATAAATATATTTAGGAAAAGCCATTTCTTTTTTACTTTTTTATAAAGTAATAATAAAAATTTCTATTTTTTTAAAACTAAAGAATGAACACAATATCTCTGTTTTTCGTAGTTAACAACATGTAAGGTACCTTCCTATTCCTGAGAAGTTTCATAGAAGTGTCCTCTGGACTTTAGATAATGTCAATTTGTCCAATGATTCTTAAAAATTAAAATTAACATGTAGCTATTATTTAGAAAATTGATAGGTATAGCTCATACCTACCCATAATTAAAACATCCTTGTATATATCACTTAAGTTGCATCAATGAACCAGTCAAATTAGCCCCCCAATTTTTAACTATATTTTGTTTAAAATATAAATGTTCAGTTTCTGTGCTGCTGATCAATTCTAGTACTCCCTTCCAGAAAAAGTTGCCTAGGTAATTACTTACTTAGGTATCTTATTATTTTTTTTTATTCTCACCAATTTTTTAATTTGTATTTCCATGTTTTCCTGTTTGTTAAAACGTTGGTGTGTCTAATAATAAAAATGTTATTTTTCTAGGTTATATGTATTTGGCTTGATTGTTATCAAGCCCCATCTAGGTAGGTAGTACCAAATGAATTTGTATTATCATTATCTGTATACAGGACTCGTCATAAAACAATATAATACATCCAAATATGTAGGTATATCGTATATCCGGAGATGCCCGATTGCGGCCCAAATTCCGGTAGTCGTATTTTATCCCAAATATAGATAAGTATTCCGATTGCGTCCAAACACACATTGGTTCACAAAATAACTTATAATTAATAAAATAAAATATATTTTCATTAATGATTAAAATGCATCATATAATAGTTTATGCACATAAATAGTAAAATAATAGTCTACAATAAAAAAAAGGTGGGCAAGTGGGTGTCGCTCTGCTGTACAGTAGGTTACAAGTGGGTCACTGTATAATGGATGGTATTAAATTTGAATTCAATGATATAATATCATTGTATAAGAAAAACGATTCTGAGCGGTGACGGTATGTCAGTGTATGTATAAGACATATTAATATATACTTATCTATGGTATTAAAAAAATTGACCTATAATGAATTCCAAATTAATCATATCACAATATCCATTAGGTACTTATAACGCGTTATACATCAACGAAAACCGTGATACTATCATAGATATATAATAGTACACTTTAGAAGTTTCAAGTACCTACAAATAATATTATTCAATCACAACAAAATAACTAAAATAGTTATTCTAGGTTTTTTTAATATGTAATATCGTCCAAATTTGAATTTAAAATGTCTGTAAAAAATAACTGTGTTCATATATTTTTTAGATTTTTTGGTTATAGTATGAACTATTTATGAGAACCTTTGTGTTGAATTTGTAATCCTTAGCTATAAAAACTGAACATTTTATAATTTATTAATTACAATGATTGATAATTTTCGAGATTTTGATAAATTTTGTCAAAATTTGATCTTTAAATGCTTATAAAAAAAACTGTGCCTATGTATTTTTAATATTTTTCAACTGCTATTGTAACAATATATCAGGAGCCTTGTATTAAATTTTTACACTTTTTGGCCCAACAGATAAAACTTTATTGATAATTGTAGAAAAAAAACTAAAAAAAATTGAAAGCTGTAAATGTCCATAAACAGCTCAAAAAGAGTCAAAATATTTTCAAAATTGTATGGTGTATAGAAAATGCTAATTTAAACATTCAGTGAAATTTTCATGTATCTACAGTTGTTCGTTTTTGAATTGCAACAAAATAAGGAAATCGCTACATGAGTAATCGAGTGAAAATCCAATGTTGTAAAAATTTGAATTTCAAACGCTCATAAAAATTTAATTCGACTGTCCGGTAGAGATTTTTTTATTGATAAAGGTAGATAATCTTATAAGGAATCTTGTGTTTCATTTTCAAATCTTAGATTTAAAAAGAAAAATTTTTACGAATTCTTAACTCAAATAATTTGCTAATTTTCGTGATTTTTCCATATTTTGTCAATTTTTGAACTTTAAATGCTTATAAAAAAAATTGTGACTAAGGATTTTTAATATTTTTCATCTGCCTTTGAAACAACATATTAGGAGCCTTCTATTAAATTTTCAAGCTTTCGCAACCAACAAATAAAATTTTATTGATATTTTTAGAAAAAAAACTAAAAAAAAATGGAAAATGAAAATGTCCCTAAACAGTTCAAAATAAATCAAATATTTTGAAAATTTTATCGTGTATAGAAAATGCAAATATAAACAACCAGTGAAAATTTCATGTATCTACGGTCATTTGTTTTAAAGTTACACCAAAAACCAAATTCGATTTTGTCAAAAACTGATTTTGCGTAAAAATTCCCGTTTTTCCTTAATTTTTATGTTGTTTTTTCCCGGCGCTTGTGAAAACTATTGGGAATTTTAAATTTTGACCTCCCCAATGCACCAACGATATTCACTTTCCAATCGAACAAGATACTGAAGTCGAAAATCGAAGCATTATTTCGACTACTTATCGTGTACACAGACACAAAAAAAAAAAAAATAAAAAAATAAAAAAAAAACACATCATTGTAAAATCAATACATTCATCGTTTCACTCAGAATCTAAAAGATATGAAATAAAATGAATATTATGTCAATTATTAAAGCAAAACAAACCACACGTGTACCCTTCCTTACAGTACCACAGGCTAATGACGTAGTAGTTGAAGCCTTAACCCTAATTAAAAAACCCGTTAAAAACAAACACTCGTGTTTAAAATCTACAGTACCCTCCCCCACAGTTAGAAACCACCCAATGGCCTAAGTTGTTAAAAAAAGGTTACTTTGGGCTGCAATCGGACAACACCCAATATATCTCATAGAGTAATAATTATTGCTCTATAGTCTATGGTATACCTACTCCTACTGACTACTGCCTACTACTTAGATATAGCTTATAGCCTATAGGGTATATGCTACATTATATTATAGGTACGATGTAGGTACCTACAACCTACCTACACGCTACCTAGCAGGGCCGTATTAAGGGGGCAACGAGGACATTTGCCAGGGGGGTTAATTTTTTACTCATTTAAGGGGGCAACCCGGTGTATATTATATAAATACATTTTTTTTTTTGGTAAGAATTTGTTTGAGTACCTCATATATGGCTCTTTACTTGGACTTTTTGCATTGCTACGGCCATTTGGCGTCATTTACTCATTTTATTCATCAATGATAACTATTAATTTTTGTAATTTTTTTAAAGATTATTATTGTATAATATGTTGTTATACATTTTGACAATAATTAAAATAATGTATCATCGTGATCTGTGTTCTTAACAAAATGTTCATAAATAAAAAACTACAACTAAACAATTAAAAAACGGATTCATTTTTTTTTAGGGGGGGGGCGTATAAATATTGTTGACCCAGGGCCCAAAAATTCTAAATACGGTCCTGACGGCTGACCTAGTAATAATAATGATATAACTTATTTCTGAGTTATATGTTTTTGGGTACCTATTTACTTACTATCTAGTACCGACTTCTAGACCTATCGAATTTTATTCCTGGTCATTAATAAATTATATATGGTCACTTATGGCATATAAATATATAATATATAGTAATAATATAGTATAATACCTGACCTAACGTTTTTATTGAGTGCCTAATGCCTATATTATATTAAAACAAGTTATGAAATATTTTGTTACGCAAACATTGCCAAATTGGGTACCGTTGGTACAGAGTTAATATAAATAGATATCTGGTAGGTAACCTAGGTAATAATATTGTGGGACGTGGGTAGGTAGGTACCTACTGCGAGAGTTATAGAATATAGGCTATAACCTATATAATTGTATTATGTATTATCACAGAACAATGGTATTATTATTATATTGGTGACGCCGAAGTATAATATATGATATAGGTAGTTACCTACCTACCTAATGTGTATGTAGTTCGAAAAATAATGAATTTAGCCTCTCACCAGTCGGTAGTTACCAGTCATCTACCAATCTTCTAATTTTATGTGTCAACTGAAAAGTCTGATTTCGCATGACTTAAATTAACTTAATTTACTCGATTACCCGCCCAATAATAATTGGTACCTACGCCTACCTATACCATGTAGCATAGCTATGCAGGTTACCTACTAGGTGGTGGATAACGATTTAAGGAAATTTACATGAGCATTGGCTTTAGAGCCACTTGACATTTATTTTGTATTGAACATTAATTGCAAATAGAAATGATCAAATTTATATTTATGCCGTTTATGCTTTGTAGTTCGGTTTCTAAACTAAATAATATAATCCAAGTATTACATAATTTTTTAGAAAGACTAATAAAATTATGGTTAGTACAAATTACGACATACGAATGTACTATATGTACCTATAATATAAACGAATTAGAATCGTATAATGTGGTATATTGTCCATTCGTATGTATAAAAAATTATTAACAATAACTTTTTTTAAACGTATTATATACAATTTTAAAATGTGATGTTAACAAAATATAACATACCTATAGATATGTACTACCTATTTGATTATGTACAGAGGTTTTTGAATATATTTGCCATTACAATTTACAGTAATTATTGTACCTATATTATACTTAGTACAATAAGTATAAATGTCTAATATTGAGTACCTACCTATTGTGTGACTACATAGTAATTCCTACATGTACAATAAATGTAAAATAAATACAGTTTTTAATACAGTAATTACAGTTCAATCCCAATGGCCATTGGGGGAGTACAGTGATAATAGGAAGGTACCTCTGACATCTCAGCGATGATTTAAGGGGAGGTCCAAGGGGCCTGGACCTCAACACTACCATTGGCGCATAACAAAATTGAAAATTAATAACGATAAAAATAGTAAATATATTTTTATTTTTTAAAAAAAAAATTTTTACAATGACTAAATTATACAAAAAACTTATACTTTTTGGGGTGATGACTGA